GCCCCTCAGGCCTCTCTCTTGGCTCCCTGCCTCATGTCAGTGTATTGTGTTCTTGTCTTAGAACAGCTGGTTGAAGTCTGGTCCCTCTTTCCCTGTGGAGATGTAAACAACACCCTCCCCTTGGGTGGGTTATTGCCTGGGAACAAGCCGTCTAAACAGAAAATATATCTGTAAGGCTCTGGTCCAAGGTAACTTTTGCTGGCTATACATGGAGTCCCTGGAACCAGAGGGAGCACTTGGCTTTTCTTAAAGTTGAAGTTGTTTATGCCCAAGATGAAATGGAATTCTGTTTAGTTAAAAAATGTGCTTATGTGTACAAAGCAAAGAACAGCACAGTGACCCCTGGTGGCAAGCCCAACAGCACCAGAGTCACCCAGGAAAATGTAACTCTCGCCCACGGACACAGTGGCAGGGTTTGGGCCAAATTCTGGAGCAACCTGCCTGCTAATGCCTTTGGACTCAGAATCTGTCTGATGTTGCACCCCTTTAAGGATTTACACTACTGAAAAGTAAATAAATAAAATTGTGCATTGTTAAAAAACCTCAAAAGTAAAAAAACAAAACACAAAAAAGGGTTAGAGTCTTGGAAACTCACAGGGACAGTTCTACCCTGTCCTACAGAGTCCCTGGGAGTAAGCATGAATTCTCTAGCAGTGAGTTTTGTTTTGGAGTTTTAATTCCCCTTTATCAGGATTAGACAATATAGACCAATATCCCTTATGAATACAGATGCCAAAATTAAAATAAATTAGCCAACAGAATTCAACATGAGATTATAAGAAAAACAACACATATTTATAATTTGGATCCATACCAGGTGTGCAAAGATAGTTCAATATTAAGAAAAAATAATCACATAATTCACCACATAAACAAAACATATGAGCCATATGATCATATCAATTGATACAAATGTGCTTGACACAATGGATGTATGTATGGATGTGCTAAGAGTTGTAAGATCCCCGAATAAAATGATTTTTAAAAAAGACCTTTCTATTGAAGAGATGGGAAACCAATAAGACAAAACTTTGAATTGTCAGTGGAAATCATGCAGGCAAGAGGCAATGGGATGACATACCTAAAAATTCAGAAAGAAAGAAAGTCCATTTAGAAAGCCAACTTAGGATTATATGCCCAGCAAATAGTCCATCAGCTATCAGAAGCAAATTAGGACATTTCCAGGTAAACAAAAACGAAAGGGTTAAAAAGGCAAAGGCCGCCCGAGAGGAAATAGTAACGGGTGCTCTTGAGGCACAGAGCCCACAGCAGCAGACAACAGCACGAGAGCCCCAGACTTGACAAGACTAGAAGTCGACCAGACCTAGATGTACCCAAAGTCCATCAAACCTACGGGACTGAAAAGAGCA